GGACAAACTGTGTTCCTTTTCACCTCAACACGAAACGCGTAATATTTTCTCAGAATACGAGACAATTCCGTTTTTTAGGGGATGGTTGGAAACTAATAACTAACCTTATAAATAAAATAAAGTTCAACATCAACATCATAGCACCCACCCAGCTGTATAGAAACTCTGTCATGCTAGCTAGCACGCAGTACAAAAAAGTCAGCATAACAAAAATAAACTCCAACTAAACTTGGTTTATATCTGATCCAGATAGACTGCAGGTCATTCTTACCTGAAGTTCAGTTCTCTTGACACTCGGACCGTCTCCAATGTGAAGAGGAAGCTGTGGTGATGTAACATGTTTTTGATGAGTTTTCTGTGCAGTCTAAAGAGACAGGTCTACATAGAGTTTCAGTGTAACCGTTCTACAGTTTAGAAAGTGCTGATTTCGATGAGTTGGACCATTTAGAAGCACTTCTTAATTCTAAACTGTAGCTTGCTGCACATTTCTTGCAATAACACATCAGGAAAAAAAACATTGCCATACTTAATGTGCAGACAAAATGTTTATTACACTTCATTCTTACTCTGATGTATTAAGTTCCTTTGCAAGGCATGTACTTCTAGCTAACATTTCCAGCTAATTCTGGATAAGAGACAGAGACTAATAGTTAGCTTTCTTTCCCATTTTGCAAACACCAGAGCCAGCTCTAACACAAGACAGCGCCGGCTCTCCTAAGGCTCAAGTCATTCACTGTGATTCTCTACATTACTGCCAGGGGGGGATGTCTTGCTTCAAGGTATCTACTGTCCCCACCCACTGGTAAGGATTATCCATAAGTTGTTTAACCCTGTAACACAAAGTGTGTAGTATGAGTTTAAAAGCACGAGTTTCTGAGTGTGATATTTTACCCTCACCTTAACCTTCCCATATGGTTCAGCCTGCTTAAGATATATATAATATAATATATATGTTTATTTTGAATACTCAAGTTTCAAAATATTAGCATTTTTATTGTTTTAGATTTGAAGTGAGAAAAAATTGTTAGCTCTATGAACAGTAGCACATTGATCTCGAGGTAAATTTTACAGATTTTACATTAATTTTGAATGTTGAAACTGCACCGTAACAGTTTTCTTTTTCTTTTTTTTGGAGCTAATATTAGTTTAGTCAAGATCTGCTGAAGAATGTTGCACATATTGCATATATTGATTTTACCATCACAAATTAACTGAACATGATTTCTTGGAGCTGTTTTTTTAAACTTGGGTCCTGTTGTCTGTTAAAAATGTCCAGTGGCTGGATTTTTTTCAAAAACTGAAAGTTCATACTATTCTCTAGTCAAGTCATAGTGTTTGGTGTGGAGAAGAAAAATATAAGAACATTTGCAAATAAAAATGATAGTAATGTGAGTTTCCATCTATTGGTGTGACTGGTTGCCAGATCAGACTGCTCTGGGCATCA